CTATGGAACCTATCTAGATGCCATTCAACAGATGAATGGAAAAAGAAACTGTGGTATCAGTCTGGGGTTGTGGCTCAGTGGTAGAGCACTTGCCTAGCACATGAAGCACTGGGTGTGATCCTCAGCACCAAATAAAAATGAATAAATGAAATAAAAGGCATGTGTTCATCTACAACTAAAAAAAGTATTAAAAAAGAAACTGGTATATATATACACAATGGAATATTACTCAGCCTTAAAGAAAAATGAAATTATGGCATTTGAAGATAAATGGATGGAGCTGGAGAATATAATGCTAAGTGAAATAAGCCAATCTCCAAAAACCAAAGGCCAACTGTTTTCTCTGATATGAAGATGCTAATTCACAATAAGAAGTGGGGGTTTGGGGTACTTTGGATTAGGTAGAGGGGAGTGAAGGGAGGGGAGGGGCTCTGGGGGGTAGGAAGGATAGTAGAATGAATCAAAAATTCTTGCCCTGTGTACATCTATGATCACACAACTGGTGTGATTCTACATCATGTACAACCAGAGGAATGAGAATTTATACTCCACTTATGTGTGATGGATCAAAATGCATTCTACTGTCATGAATAACTAATAAGAAAACATTTTTTAAAATCTTTAAAAAAATGTAAATATTTCACCAAAAACGAATTAGAAATCGACATCTAGCTCAGCGGCACCTCTTGCCCCCGCAGAAGCAGCGATGATGTTTTGACATGTCTCCCTGGGTCTCGAGACCCTCATGCCTATGGTCACACTCTGACCAATAATTATTCTAAGAGGACATTATCTGAATTCCAGAATTTATTTATGCACTCCTTGTAGAACCCTTGTGTTTGAGAAAGCATGGCATTGTAATAGGCACCGTGATGGGCAGGGTGGCCCTGGGGTGCAGTTGGCTGCGCTCAGCATGCAGCTGAGCTTCTTGGTGCTGTCACCTTTTTAGTGATGTGTGTTCATTTGAAAACTTTTGAGTCACCACCTCTGGGGCTTAATTCTCTTCCTTGCCTTGTAACCAAGATCTCTGTCTTCCAAGTCGTCGTGGTGGGTAGTAGCTCAAGTGTCATTTTACTTTCAGCCTGTACCTAAACTCATCAAGATTCTTTTGGAAACTAGAATGCAGAAAGCGAGGCAGATCTCAGGGACTGTCACACATACAGTTCATGTCACAGGTGAGCCCAAATGTCTCTGTGGGCATCCACACTGACCTAACCTGGACCAGCTGCCTATTAACTAGTACTGACATACGCAGTGAGTGCTTGCTGTCTCTGTGCTTGATACTCCTCCTCTCCCCGCATGGCCACTGCTCTGTGTGCTGCTGCCTCTAAACGTTGCCTGGATAGTGTCTGAGCTACAGCCCACTCCTGCTGTGGTCCCGACCACCAAGGACACCTGAAATTGCCCACCTGGTGGGTGTCATCTCCTGGCTACCGCTGGGTGGGCTGGCCACTACACAGGGCTCCATGCGAGACCCTCCAGGGATCAGTGGCATCTTGGAAGCTGATCAGAGAGTTCTTGAAGGAGGGTACATGTTTCTTTTACCCCCTGCCGTGTGTGAATGGTGGGGACTGAGAAGCTTCAAGGGAACCCATTAGCAAGGGGCAAGCTCCTGGACTCTGGAGCACAGATCTGGAGCTGACCTGCTGTGTGACCTGGGCTCCAGCAGGTGGGAGGTGGGAGCACCACTTCTCCTGGGCCAGGTGGTTGAGGAGGGCAGATGCTTCTGAGCACTCCGTCAGCAGTGGTTTTGAGTGTCACCCCCAGAGATGTCACTGCTGGGAAAGCAAAAGTCCTCTGGCTTTTCCTGCCCATGGTTCCTCTGCTTGACCTACTTCTGCCTTGGGTGGGACACCCCCACCCCCCAGCTGTTGTGCAGGATCGTGGGTCCTTCCGGCTCTGTTTCTCCTGGTTCCTCCATGATTGGATAGGATGGTGTCCCCAGCTCACCTGGGTTGGAAGCCAGGGCCCCGGGCATGCTGGGGAAGTGCACCATCACCATCACCATCCTTTGCTTGGAGAGTATCTCTGCAGTTCAGTTTCGGGAGTTCAGCAGCAAGACTGTGTCCTTTGCACTCCCTTTTTAAAAAATATTATTTTCTTTTCTGGCTTGAAAAGAGATTTTCAATGGAAAAGAGTTAAGAAGGACAGGAAAACAAAACACCACATGCCCCCCGGGGAAGTGCCCAATTTATGTGTTTGAGGCACAGACATATTTTCTGGAATGTCGTACTGTGGGCCACGGTGCTGGGGATGGAACCCAGGCCCTCGCATGCTGAGCAAGTGCCCTACCACTGAGCTACAGCCGCAGCCCATGCAGACGTTTGATAAAGTCACAATCAGAAGCTGTATTGTAATTTCAAAATAAAAATTATTTTTGCCTCTTGAAGAGGATTTAATTATGCATACATTACAAGATTAATATTTATTGTAGTTTTCACACGCAGAAGGCTTCACTTCAGAAGATTAGCCTCGTGTTGCATTAGCTAAAGAATGGGGAGTCTCTCTGTGATTGCTGTTATTCCATTACCAAAAGTCACCAATGAGCATTTGCTTCTGTTACACCTATTTACATGCCTGTCTTTCATGTCTGTCTGATAGGACACTGGCTTTCTGTGTCTAGTCAGTGACAGGCTCAATTAAGCAACAGTTCCTCATATATACTGAAATGGAGAGTCTTTTCCATCACACTCTTATGTAGACCCAGTCCTTTTTATTTGACTTTATAAATAAAATAAAATGCATAGATGAGCTAATCTGGCAAGACAAGTGATACACAAGGACTTTGACTCATCGTAGGGCAAATGAAGCAATAAATATTGAACAAAGAAAACTAATTTGTATTTGTACCATTTTAATACAGAAAATGTTTTTCAAAATCAGTATCAGCCAATTGGCCTTTGCCGGATTTCTTTTAGCGCAATGATTACAAATAGCCCAGGTCCAGATATCTTTTATACTGTAGCTCTATTTTCTTGATTTGCTTTAGATCACATCTCAAAATATCATTGTTGATGTGTTGTAGAGGTCTGTACTAGACTGTTCATTTACTTACCTTTTCAGGCTTTCAATGGGTTTTAGAGAAATGATATTCAAAGACTTATAAACACCAGTGGTTGAATCTAGGAGTCTCCATGCACATCAATTCCTTCTGATTGTAGAGTTGACATAGCAGTTAAATGAGATTTTTGGTGGAAAAGAGAACTTTCTAATGGAACATTTTGCAAAGTGCATTTCAATGCAGGGAGGGGCAAGACTATAAACTCTTATTTTTTCCTCTCCTTCATGAATCCGATTTACCCAGGATTATGTGGACCCTGTTATCGTCACATGTGTGCACCAACACTGGCTGAGCTGCTGTCCGACATGCTTTTAGGAGAACTTCGGCCTCCTCTGGCCGAGGTTCTGAGCCTCTGCTGCAGAGGTGTCCTAAGGCAGAACTCTCAGCCTCCACGGTCCAGCTGAGTTTCCTACAGGTTATGATCCAACCAAAGGAGGGTTTTTATTTTTTTATTTATTTTATTGTATTTTATTGTTTAATTTTCGGCAGACACAACATCTTTGTTTGTATGTGGTGCTGAGGATCGAACCTGGGCTGCACGCATGCCAGGCAAGCGCGCTACCGCTTGAGCCACATCCCCAGCCCCTCAAAGGAGGTTTTTGCGGCTCCCACCTTCAGTTCTCAGTTTCAACAGTTGCGTTATCCGGCTTTTCCCTGGAAGCTAGGGTCTTCTTTAGCCAGGAGAGAAGGGAGCTATGAGATGCCATCTCCTTGGGCTTAGATCATGTGCCTCTGCTGCCTGGTGAACAGAGAGGGCACTCAAGACCCCTGGAGGCCCAGGGTCTCACGGTTAAACACAACCTGGCATGCTCATGACCAACCAGACCCCTGGAGCTGCCAGGCTGGAGCAGGGCTGTCCCCCCACGGGAGGCCTGCCTCTCCCATGGGGGTGCTGCTCCAATGCCCACTCCTCGAATTGCAGGCTGGGTTGGGGGCACCAGCCAGCACACCCGTACAGGGCCAGGGCCATATTACTTCAGGGAGTGCACCTGCCCCTAGAGATACACACACACACACACACACACACACACACGAGGACAGGGCTGTGACCTCCAGACATCTAGCTGGCTTGGTCATTTCATCCATTCATCTGGAAAATTTAGGTCACAGGGCCAAAAGTCACACATTTTGGACATTTGCCCCTGGAAACGTGTATATTTGGGCCACTAAAAGAACGGGTGGTGTCTGTGGGGGGGGCCCCTTGTGGGGTCCACAGTGGATGCCTCTCCACTCCCACTCCCGCCTTGCGGCTGACCTTGAATTACAGACGGCTTCTGTCACTGTTTCCCAATGAACTGGAAATAGATTATTTTCGCTAGTGGTTTTGTGCAGTTTCTCCAGAAAATATCACGAGGAATAGTCAATACCTTGGCACAAACGCCAGGGTCACCCATGGAAGGGCCTGCAGGACTGGGGCCCGGGAGCCCTGGGTCTGAGGTCCACCTGTCCTGCCCTGTGGGAGGAATCTGCCCCACATATGCGTCCCCTCCCTCCCCTTGTTACTTCCCATCCTCTTTTTCTCTTTCTTTCTCCTGTCTTCTTTTGTCCTGGGGAAGGGGGATGGATCTCCCACTGGAGGGTGTGTGTCCCCAACCATACTCCCCAGTCTCCCCTCCACTCCGGACAGCAGCTGGGGCACTGGGAGCGCCATCGCGGCATGTTCTCCACTGAGCGCCAGTAACTTCTGCTAACATAGTAACTGTGCGATCATAAAACTGCACTAACCCTAATCCCAGGGACTTCCTTTGTGCTTCTTGCCTTATAGACGCTGTCATTTAATGGCCACACCCATTAAAAGCAGAGGTAACCCTGCGGGCAGCCGAGGGGGCGATGCCTAGAGATGTTTTCCAACAGGATTTAAAATGGCTTTTATTTTGTTTGTAAAATGTACACAATGGACTACCAAATTTACTTTTTTCTTTCTTCCTCTTTTCAAAAGCCACACGCTAAGGACAAGATCTATGTCCAAAGTCAAGGTAAGAGTGTTTAAAATACACATATTATGTTTTGAAAGAAGGTGTCCTTTAGATAGACACACTGGGATGTTTTGGATGAGAGAATATGATTCTGATGTTTACTTAATGAGCAGGATGAACACAGTTTCATTGTTTTGTTTCAGAATAAGAAATGAATAGAACACCTAGGGGAAATGACGAAAGAGTCCTTGAGACTGAAGCCTTCCCCACACTTTCTGGCAGTGGGAGTGCAATCGACCTCACCCAGGGTGCCTGTACAACAGGGGCTGAGCACCCAAGTTGACTGAGTTGGGACCTGCCCCCCATCGCCCACCCCACCCTCTTGACCTCACCCAGACTGCCCGGTGGTGGCATCTGGAGCCCTCAGCCCAACCCTGTGGGCTGTAATCACTCCTGCAAAACACTGTCTTGTGCAACCTGGAGTGGAAAGAGGGGATTCAAGGGAGGGCAGGTGACCCGACCCAGGCCAGGACAGGACAGGCAGAGGCCCAGGATGGATGCAGGGACTTCGTGGCTGGGACTTCCCCAGGTGCTGCTCACCTCCCGGCACCTGCCTGAAGACCCTCCTCATTGTGTCACCATGGAAACATTGCTCCTGTGTTTCAGTGTTGTTTTTAGCATCAGGACCATTTTCACATATGCTCCTTTCTGGAGTGTGCACCATGAGCAGGTGTGCCGCCTGGCCTGTGAGGGAGGCTGCCTGGGCACAGGGCCAGGGGGCCGGGTGGGGGGAAGGCTGGGGGTCTCCCTCGATTACAGCCGGGAGGTGCTGGAGCAGGGAGGAAGCAGTGTGGGTGTGGATGCAGCCCCACGCTGACACGCTGTGCCATCTCCGTGTCCAGCCAGAGAGGCTGGAGGAACCAACTTGGCGTGCAGATCTTAGGAGTGTGGACAGTGGGTGGAGGCACCGCCCCTCCCCCTCCCCCCAAGGTCCCTGGCAGAGGGCTCCAGTGTGTTATGTGAGCCAACCATGATTGCCAAAGTGGGTTCTAGAAGTGGTCAGATGACTTGATCGACGTGTTATAAAACTTCCAAGCTTCCTTCCCATCGTCAAAAAATCTGCTGAGTGTTGCTCTTGAATTTAGTCTAAATCTTACAGGTTTGCTTTTTAAGAAAAAATGTAAACTTAGCAAATCTGTTTGAGGAAATGTTACCCAGACTTCAGATGATTGGACACGAATTGGTGAGGTTGAGATGAGGAATTTTAAATAAAGATAAGATGGTACATGGGCCTGTTAGGACTCAGTTCTGTTGTGTGGGAAACCTTCTACACGGGTCCCTAAGGAACTTGAGATCTGCATGACCCAGAGGCAGTTTGACCTGGCCACGGACGGGACCAGAGGCCGGCTATCCTGGTGGAACCTGGGGCTGCCCTTCCACCTCCCCTGCTGGAGGGTCGATGGGCCCAGTGGGGACTGGGCTGAGTGGGTTCCTAAGAACCAAAAAGTCCACAAGCTGCCATGTCTCCCAACCTCATCCATGCCCACATTCTCTTTTTCTGTTTCCTTCAACCCAGGAATTGCAACAATACCAAATGCCGCTTTTAACTGGAACAGCTTTCTTCAGCGCTCAGGTAAGCTGGGGTGCCTTCTCCCAGGACTTGGATGCAAGTCCTCAGGGGAAGCTCCCTGTCACCTTCATGGGCTCTGAGGGAGAGCTTGCCTAGCCCAGAGGTGGACTGGCTCCAGTGGGGCAGGACTAGGAAGCAGGATACTGGCACAAGGCCAGGAAGATGCGGAGAGCACATGGGACATTTATTGGTCTTATTTATCTTCACAAGGGTTTGTACAGAGTGTTCATGCCTTTTAAAAAGTTCTCTTACATATTTTATTGCTTTTGATGCAACTATAAACTTAAAAAATGTATTCTCAAAATGTTTGCTGCCCGTATGTATAAATTATCGACACGATTTTTGCGTGTCGATGTAACCTGTGGTTTCATAGTTGCCAACACTACAAACTGGCTTGACTGAACCTTTCAACGGGGCACTGGGTTTTTGTAGCCCCATGATGAGCAGTCAGGAGAGTGCGAGGCCCTGCCTTCACGTACCTGGCCCTTCTTTTCTCGGGAGGGTTCCCACCATAGACTGTGCTAGGCCACGCACCTGCTGGAGCTCCTGCCTCTAGAGAGATGCCTCCTGGAAAGGAGTCCACCAGAGATGCACAGAGGGGCTTCGTCCCTGCCTGAGAGCAGAGCAGATGAACATGGCCGTGATGTTCCTGCAGGATGTTGCTGCACAGTGTCTTTAGGTACAGGCGCGTGGTGGTCTGCGGGAGAGGCACCTGGGGCATGCTCTGGGAGGAAAGCTTCCTCACGGGCTGCCAGTCCAGCACTGCTGGGTGAAGGAGGGAGAAGAGGTGAAGTTGGATGCCGGGTACAGTTGGAAGACCAAGGATTCTTCTGCTTTATGTGGAGACGTGTTTTCCCCAGAGGGGACAGTGTAGGAGTGCTGTCCAGATGGACCCACCTGCGGGTGAAGTGGAGTTGAAATCACAGGTCCACGGGGAAGCTGAGAAGCGCCGTCTTCCCTTAGCCAACACCAAGGCTGGCCCATTTCACCCCAGAGCCTCACGCAAAACCGCACCCACCACAAACTGTGTGTCAGTACTGGTTTCCCTGGAGAAAAAGAATCTCCAAGCATTTTATTAGAAATAATTTCTGGAGTGTGCTCCTGCATCCAAGTGACAGCAGCAGGGCAGCACTCAGCATTACCGATGTAGCCGCGCCGTCGGGCCACTTCATCACCTCGGCCAGGGTGCCATTATTCAGAACTGGTGGGCCCCTCAAAATGGCCTGCCGTGAGGTTATTTCATCTTCAGGGAATTGCGGGATGTGGTGATGGCGTGACTGAGATTCATAATTCCTAAAGGAGGAGGATGCGTCCCAGGCGCTGTGGCCTCTTGGCTGGCGTCTGGTGTTGCTACAGGGTGACCACAGAACACCCAGAGGGTCCAGTGCTCCCTAGCAGACCTGTCCTCTGGGCCCTGCATGGCGGCAGTGTCCTCATAGTGTGTGCGACTAGAAGCTGCCAGGTCCTTGGAACCCTCCGCCTGGGGAGTCTGGGGGTAGCTGGATGACTGCAAGATGGTGACTTCGGGTGGCTGGAATGGACCTGTGCCTGGGTTACCCAGCCAGGCGTCCGCTGGTCTGGGCCACTGTCTTTGTCCTATTCCAGGCTCTGAGGATAGACTGTCCTTGTCATCTCTCTTCCATCCTACCTTGATCTCTGGGGCCTTTGGCACCTGTGGCTGTTTTGTCCCCTCCACTGAGCTTCAGTGAGAACAGAAGGTACACAGATTTGGAGCAGCTATTATAGCCCAAACCCCTTTTGAATTCTCATGAGCTATTCCTCTGTAGAGCTGGGTGGGTGGGGGGCCTCTCTGACCCCTGTCTACACAGCTGCCATCTGCTTGGTCACAAAGGCTGGTGGCGGGATAGTAGGCTTCTGCAGCGTTGGAGGACAACCTTTTATTTTTATTTTTTGGTACCAGGTATTGAAGCCAGGTACACTTAACCACTGAGCCACAACCCCAGCCCTTTTTAATATTTAATTATTTAGACACAGGGTCTGGCTGAGTTGCTTAGGGTCCCGCTAATTTGCTGAGGCTGGCTTTGAACTCTCCATCCTCCTGCCTCAGCCTCCTGAGCCACTAGGATTACAGGCGTGTGCCACTGCGCCCTGCCTGAGGTCAGTCTTACCACGTGTTCTCATCTTCCAGTGTGTCTCAGGTTCCCAGACAGTGTGACTTCTCTCAGCCATAGCTAACAAAGTAAGTAGTCTCCTTGGTTGAAAACACTAAACCAGCTTGATGCTAGCAAGATCCATGTTTGCACATTTCAACTAAGAAGAATTTAACTGGCTACATGGAGTATGGGCTTCTCTAGTTCCTCATGTGGTGTTTGTGGCAGCCATTCTGATCATAAGATATGGGGCAGACCCCAGGTGAGTGAGCTAGTTGTAGGGTTCTGGGCACTACCAGGTACCTTCAGTGTAATGTCCATGGTATTTGCTCCTATGCTCAAGTTAACACCTCTGAAGCCAGGGTTCCTTGCAGGCTGGGGCCACCAAACCCCCAAATTAGGATCAGATCTGATCCAGTCCTCTCCTTCCTATTTCTTTGTTTTTCATTTAATTTTTACTCCTGTTGCTTATTTATTTTAATCCCCCACCCTCAACACTTTGTATTTCTGAATGGAGCCCCTAAGATGCCTCACTCACACGTGGGTCTTTTTCTTTCCCAGGCTATTCCTAAGAAAGCTGGCTTGTTTTTGATATGGAAAATTGGTATTACTAGATCTCTTTATTCTCACACAGCCACAAAATCAGATTTTTCAGTTGAAATTCAGTAAGCCTAATGTGCTTGGCTGAAGTTCTTGAGTTCTTTTCTCCTAATAATAACCATAAAATGTACAGGGGGATGTCGAGCTCAGACGGGGCGGGTGTGGGGCTCAGCCCGTTGGTGCCAGTGTGGGTGCCAGACCATGCAAACAGCATGATTCTGTTCTGAAGACAAAAATATCACCCTGCAGGAAACGGTCCAGGCAGGAAGACGGGTGAGTGTGTGCGTTTGTCAGCAAGGAGCTCACACCTGACTCACGCCTACCCTGGGTATCGCAGGAAACTCAGCAGTAAAAGTACCTCTGAGTTAAAACCAGGAAACACGATGCTCTGAGACTCACCAGGCTCGCAGGTCTCCTGCCTTAGGTGTCTTTTAAAACCTAGACAGGAGCTGTCCTAGGCTGCAGGGAGCCGAGCAGCCGCTGTCTGGCTGATGCCTGAGTCAAGGACTTGAACTCTGGCAGAGGGGCAGGACTTTCCAGCTGTTGTCTTCATTTCCTCGAAAATGACGCTTTCTGTGCGAGAGAAGTGCACATGAGACAGTCACATCTGAATGTTGTCTCCATGACTCATGTTCAGCATCCGAAGACGAGACGGGGCACTTAGTCTTTTGTTCTGCCACCTCTGACTTAGTTCCCCCAATTCCCTTGACATTTAGTCTCCACCTCACAACAAAGATGGCGAAGAGGTGGGGAGTGCCGGCTTCACTCCGACTCCTCCAGGGTCTTTGTCAGAAGTCTCAAAATCGATCCAGTGGGTCAGGAACAAGCACCTTAAAAAATGGAAGTGAAGCCGAATGGGACACACAGAGCGCCTCGTGTGGACAGGACGGAAGGATTTCTTGCGATTGCACACAACCCCGAGTGTGCACACCTCGTGGTGAGCGGCACTCTCACCTGGGCTCTGCGCTATGGGTCACCCTGCTCAGGGCCAGCTTTCCAAGGACCTGGGCCAGGGGACGTGCAGGCCGGACTCCCCTGCCTGACTTGGCCAGGGGCCAAGAGGCCTTCAAACTGGTATCTGAGCTGCTGACAGCGGTGCTGGTGAGGGAGGGTGTCCTGCCCCCATCCATCTCTGGGGCGGCCTCGAGGGCTGCCTGTTCTGCGTCTGTCTTTATTTCCCCCAGAACCACTAGTACAGATCTCTATGTATGCTGCATTTGGAGAGCAGGGTTCCAGGACTTCCTCTGTGGTTGGCTGGCTCCACTGCTTTCAGGCCTGTGGTGAAGCTGAAAATGGTATGGAAGGTGTGGTGGAAGGAGCTTGGCCACCTCTTGGCAGCTGGAAAGCACAGACCCAGAGGAGGGGTGGAATCCAATGCCCCCTCCCAGGGAAAGCCCCGACCTCAGGTCCTCTGACCTTCAGTTCAGGCTATGCATCTATTTTGCAGCTCAGACTTCAAACAAGTGCTAAGGTTTATGTTCTAAGGTCATTGAGGATATTCAGAGTACTGGGGAGGTATTTTTATAAAACCCTCAACATCTCAATGACAGTTTCAACAGTTCAGAGACAGCAATAATTTTATTTTTTTCTTTTGTGGTGTAGAGGATTGAGCCCAGGGCCCTAGGCATGCTAGGCAAGTGCTCCACCACCGGGGTCTAGCCCAGCTCAGGTGAGAACTTTTGAGGCTTTTTAGAGAGAATTTAGCCTGTGGGTAAAGTTTGTCTTCAGATTTAGATACACATTGCTTTTCTTAGGGTCTGGGAGTTCTGTTCACTGGCGTCCATAGTTAGACTCGTTGCATTTCTGTTCAAGACTCAGAAAAACAGAAGGTTGGAAATTGTTTGCATTGAATAATGGACAAATGCCCATCCTGGGAAAGATGACCTGGCAGGAGTTTATGGCCAGTTGTACTGGTTGCAAATGCCAGAGCGTCAGGTGGCCTGTGTTGAGGCTGTCGGTTGCCGAGGAGTCAGTCCTCTGCTGGGTGCAATCCAGAGGTTCCAGGGTGCCCTGCTTGAGGGGCCACCTGAGAATCTATCTTGCTTTTGTGGGTGGGCATGGTCATTTTGTGGCTGCTCCTGTCTGCTCCCTGGAGTCTGCGAGGCTCACTCACTGTGTGCAGTTGGCTGAGGTTCAGGGAGTCCTGCCTGGCCTTGCCACAGGTCTGGGGTCTCACCCAGCAGGGATGCACCTCTCCTCACAGTCTCATTCCCAACACAGTTGCTGGGCCCCATTACCAGGCCCCCAGGTGTGCCAGGCAGTGGGTGTGTGGGCTCCACGAGGCTCCTACGGCCAATGCGTGGAGGTCGGTGCAGCCTCCCTCACTGTGAGGCCAGCCTGAGGTCAGGGAAGGAAGTGGGCACCGTTTGATGGGAACAGCTGCAAACTCACACCACAGCTCTCCATCTGGCAAACCCAATCCTTTTAAAATCATACAAACATATTCTTTTATTTTGAAACCCTTTCCAGCTTTATGGAGGCATAATTGACAAATCAGAATTATAATCTGAACGACGCACAGTGTGAGGAATTGATGTACCCGTGTGTTCTCTTGCGGGTCTGTGAGCATGTGCACTTAGATGTGCGACCCTCTCCCTGCCTGGTTGTGTATTAAGCATACTTTAATACAGAAGCCTCTTTCCTAGCTTCACCAAGCAGAGTCCTCCCAGATGGAATCGGGTCCAAGTATTCTCCGGGGCTGCTGGTCTCCTCTCTGCGGTTGGGTCAGCTCCCCTGGCCTGGCCCTTCCTCATTACAGCAGAGGTTAGCATGCTGCAGAGGCTGAGCTGAGCCCAGGTGGACCCCCAGAGGGGGCTGAGGACGTTGAGGAAAGACCAGGGAGGAGGCTTCTGTCTTCCCAGCCGCCCGAGAGACGACAGGGCTGTGGCGGCTCCAGAGGCATGCTCTCCACTGAAGTGTCCCCCCTTGTGTTGCAGAGATTAACCAAAATGCTGACAACCTGCACGTGTTCCTTCTGATCTGCGGGCTCAGGCAAGTCAAAGACCCGCTCTACCTGGTGGATGCCTTTTCAGGTATGTTCCCTGCGGGGCCTGTGAGTGTCAGGACATTGAACGCGCCCGTCAGAGCTCTGACGCTGTCCTCTCTCTGTCCTCGTGCTCTGAACGTGTGCAGAACCATTTCCAGATTGTTACAGAAGAAACCACGGGAAACATGGCTGACGGGCTTAAGGGAGGGGTGGTGACTTCAGCCCAGTTTCCTGCTTTCCTCTGTCCTCAGAGCTGAGGAACTCATCAAATCACAGCTGATCAGGAGGCTACAAATTTTTATCTGGAAACTATTCCATACATGCCTATTTGCACAACAGGTTTACCACTGTATTTTGTTGTTGGAGTTGATCTATTTACGCTTGAGTTCATTCTAAAATCCATATTGGGTTTTGGTGGCATATTGGTCCTAGTTCTCTGGTAAATTAGAAATATGGATAATGTACAACATAGTGGGGAAAAATCTTATTTAAAAACATAAACTGTCACATGTACAAATTCTCAAGAAATATAATTTACAATGGCTAATATTATGATTGGTAGTATAAGAATAAGAAATTATTTATATTTTGCAGTAATATATGTTAAATGTAATTGTACAGCTGTGACTTAAAGCCATTTTAAAAAATCTTTTTTTTTCTTTTTCCTTCTCAAGAATGGCATCAAGAAGAGCCCAACGTTTACATGGTAATTGTGGGCCCTGAAGTAAGTCCATGTTCTGTGAACATTTAGTTCATCTCTGTTTTCTTCTTTGTCCTCTTTTATGTATTTTCTAAAAATTAGTTTACATTACTCTCCTAACCAGCAGGACTTTTTTTTTCTTTTTAACTAAATGAAGTCAGTTTGCCTTTTAAAAATGAAAACCAGACCAAGGTTAAAGATCATCACAACTGCAATTAATCTTTGCAGTTAATTTATTGCAGAAGTCATTACAATTAATCTTTACAACCACCTTTTTGCTGCAAAGGATAGCATACTTAAATTCTTACACAAATACAGATGGATCATACAAAGAGAAAATTATTTAAAGTCCTATAAAGTGGAGGTTAGGCTAAATCAACATCGTGCACAGCCCACTTTGTCTCTAGAACTCTCTTAAATTGCTCAGGAAGGGAACTCAGTGCTGTTTCTTCAACCCAGCCTTACACTGAGTTGTCGGCCAGTGTTGAGAGGCCTTGTGTGGAGCATGCTTGTCTATAAGCAGAAGGAACTCAGGGGTGGGGAGATGTCCACAAGTGACCATGGCGGCCCTTGCCAGGGAGGAGTCCTGTGGAGTCCTTGGAGCTGTCCCTCCTGTCCCCCACTGTTCAGTCACCTGCTCTGTCTCACACTCAGTTTTTGGTGCTCAGGACCCAGAGAATCTGTGGCCACCCTGGCCGACTCGTAAATAGGAGCTGACCCAGTGGTTGCTTCCAGCAGTTTGGTGTTTCTGGCCAGGAGGACGCAATGTCGCAGCAACAAGTCCATTTCTTCTTGGGGTTTCTGGGCCAGGGTTGTTGCTGGGGTCTGAATGCTGTGTCCCACCCCCATTCCTATGCGGAGTCCTGCCCCAACATGTCAGGGTGTCTGGAGGTGGAGCATTTGGCTTCAGGGGATGGGATTAGTGCCTCATCAAAGGTCCCAGAGAGCTGCTCCCCATCACCCCCAAGTGAGGACATAGGAAGAAGTCACCAGCTATGAGGCAGGAAGCGGATCTTGCCTGACTCCAAGTCCTCTGGCACCGTGACCTTGGACTTCCAAACCGCAGAACCGTGAGCAGCACGTTCCTGTTCGTTCATAGCCCCGAGTACAAGGTGCGATGCTGCAGCGCCCCGAACAACCAAGACAGTTAAGTCTGTGCCGTGCTGTGCTGGGTCCTGGGAACCTCTTCTGCCCCCACCTTGCTGCCTTTGTGTGGGTGGGGACCCAGAGTTGTGATGGCACACAGGCTCCACCCTCTCTACATAGGAGCGACCCTAGCCAAGAACTCCAACTCCAGAGAAGGGACGACACACAAGTTCCCTGAGGCTTGGAGGTGTGGTCCTTCTTCCTCAGCTGGTTTTTCTGGTTTTCTCAGGGACTGTAGCACTGCGGGCTTGCTTCAGTGTTCCCAAGGGCTTTTGAATCAAAGTGTGAAATATGATATATCAAGAAATTTGTAATGTTTTGAACAACCAACAATAAAAAATTAAAAAAAAAAAAAAGAAACCCTTGCAGGGATTTGTTTCCTTGCAAAGAGGCCAGAGAGGCTAGAGAAGCTACTAAGGTCAGGCATCTGTGCAGCTGCGCTGCGTGCCACCTAGGAGAGGACCCCCATCCATGCCGTGTGCTTGGTACAGCACGCACTCTCACACCTCTGCACACATGCACACAGAGTGCTGGCTTTGGGTGGTAACAGATGATTCCTGGTGCACTAATTACTCTTCAGTCCCACAGTGGGAAAGTTACTATTATTTAAAAAAATCCTCCTTCCAGCCTTCTGTTTGAAGGACATGATTAGAAGAAAAAGTTTGATGCTGTGATTCTTGTTAGCCCAGGAGAAGCTTTCAGGCTTAGGCTGTGGACTAGCAATGACAGCACTCAGAGAACTCAGTAAGGTGACTTTCTTGCCGGGCACAGTGACACATGCCTGCGACCCCAGTGGCTCAGGAGGCTGAGGCATGAGGATTGCAAGTTCAAAGCCAACCTCAGCATCTTAGCAAGATCCTAAGCAACTCAGCAAGACTCTGTCTCCATAAATCAAAATAAGTAAGTAAATAAAAAGGGCTGTGGATGTGGCTCAGTGGTAAAGTGCCCCTGGGTTCAATCCCCAGTACTGGAAAAAAAAGACCCCTCAAAACAAGCAAAAAAATACTTTCTTTTTCAAGGTTTACATTTTCCTGATGCTATTCTACTTAGAGTACGTGGAACTGGCTTTCCGAATAGGATGATCTCCTTTAAACATAAAACAAATTGATTTCAGGAAAAGTGCTCAAGAAGCAATGGTACAGATGACATGCAGGCACGACAAATCGTGAGGACCCGTGCAAACAGCTGAGTCAGGTGTGGGTGTGCAGCGGGAGAAGAGGCCAGCACAACATGGGCATGGGGCCCACGTGGTCTTGGCTCCATATGTGTCCTCTTCAGGAAACCTGCGGGCCTGGTGGAGAGTGCCACTGTTCCGGAGAAACCCTCCTGGGTCCCCGCTGGGCTCCACCACAGCAGCCCTCTATCACAGCCCTTCAGGGGGGACATCATAGGAGCTGCTGTGCTCCTATGACACGTGCCTTTCCTCCCCTGTCTTTCCGGAATGCCTCTCCTCTTGCCAACCTTTGCCTGCTTTGTGAAGTAACCATCACTGTGAAACGAGCTTCTCTTTCCTTCCCAGTGGGCAGTGAGGCCCACTGTCCCTGAGGTGTGGCGGCTGTGGTGAGCTGGGAGGGCTGCATCCAGCCGCAGCAGGGTTGGGGCTTGGAGGTGCAGGACTCTGTGCCACCTTGTGAGAGCTGTGTGTGTCTGGAGGCCTCATGAGTGCATGTGCTGCCTTCATTTCTAAGTGCCCACACTGCGGGCCCTCACACACACCCCATCGCCCATGGAGGACCTGCACAGTGCGCTTCTCTTGTTCTCCTCTGCTCTGGAAGGATGTAATCACTAACTGGTTTTGAGCAAAGACTGCGACAGCTTTGCCTGATGAGGTGTTGACTGGGGTTTGATGATCCAGGATTAGGGAGCAGAGGGTGGTTTGGGGTAGGTTGAAGGCCATGGTGGAGGGGCCTGTCTCGGCCATTGCCAGAGGCCCTAGAGCCCCAAGTGGATCTAACACCATTGCAGCTTCCCCGACCACAGGGTGCTTACCAGGCAATCTAGGTACAGGGCAAGTCCCTGGGTCCCCACTCCCACTAGACCACCCCACCCATGTACCCTGGGGGCTGTTGTGGGGCTTTATCTGCAGCCCCACAGGTTAGTTTCCTGGGGTGGGGCAGAGGACACAGGCCGTGAGAGCAGTCGCCAGGCAGCTCTTCAGCCAGGCTCTGGGACTCAGCGTGAAGCCTTCCCAGCTGAGAGTGCTTCAGCTCCTTGCCTGAGTCCCTCGTGGCTCTGAAGCACCTCTCCCATGAGGCACTTCACTATCTGTAATTAAAACCCCTCCGGGAAATGGAGCTGCATCTTTGGCTGCGCATTCGTTGCTGAGCAGAGCAGCCTCAGCACCAGGCTGGTGCGGGTCCGTGTTGCCCGGAGCTCTCCTGGGCCTTGCCAGCTTCTTCTGCGATGGCAGGTGACACCGAATCTTCCAGGTCTGACTCTGGTTGCAGAAAGGTAGTGTCTCTGGGCCATCCAGCAGAATCCAGGCTCTGTCCTGCCTCCTGAAACATCTTTCTCACATCTCAGATGGACAGCCGACAGCCCCGCAGACCTGTGTACCACCTCACAGAGGGCACAGAGACCAAGGCAGCTGAGGCCCCGTAGTTATGACCCTCCAGCCACCTGTGTCCTTCCTGATGCTCTCTGTCCTTAGACGTTTCTTTCTGGTACTGGGGATTGAAACCAGGGATGCACTACCACTGAGCCACTGTCCTTTTTATTTGAGGACAGTGCCTTGCTAAGCTGCCCGGGTCAGCCTTGCACTTGAGATCCTCCTGCCTCAGCCTGCCAAGTCGCTGAGGTTACAGGTGTGTGCCACCATGCCTGGCTTGTCTTTAAGACTTAGCATGTTTTTTTGGATCCTTTGGCAATTCAGATGGACTTGAGCCTCCCCATTTTGTCTATGTTTTAGCCGTGGCCAATGGTAATACCGCAGACACTCGACCACCAGCTGTCTGTGGCAGGGCCCATTTGTGGAAAACCCTATTTGGCCTTCCATGGTGTAATCACTTTCATGGTGCTCAGTCCCAAGTTTCCAAGCTGATGTCACTGAAGGGAGCCTTGAGAGGAGATGGGATGGGCACCAGCAGCTGTCACCAGCAGGCAGAGCCGCCCCAACACATGCTATGTGGCAATGTCCTACACACACAACACACACACACACACACACACACACACACACGGGACTCACCTGCCACACGCACACACTGGAATGGAAAGCAGGTCAGCTAAACAACATTTACTTCTTGTGGTTCCTGCACTCTGATAGTTTAAAGAAACTTTTGGGGTCCTAGGTTCTGGCCTAGCAAGCACCCTGCTGTCAGGTACACCCCAGGTGCACTAGACCTGCTTAGAAATGGGCCCAGGGGCCTTGGCAACCGTGCCAAAGCTTCCAGAACAGGCCCTTCCACGTCCCTTTACAAAGTGCTGTTTCCACCTCAAATTTGCTTTCACGATTTGCTGTGTGGTCTGCGTGACTTGAGCCATGCGGTGTGGCAGGTGTCTATTTGTGCCAGACCCCACTGGACATTGCCTGTGTGAAGGCACACTTGCTGCTTCCTTGTGAGACTCCCCCTGGCTCACCTGGCTCCCGAAGGACCCTCTCAGGTGCACTCCCTTGAGCTCTCAGCTCCAACCCACCCCCTGTCGCTGCAGAACTCTGAATCCTCCAAGTCAGGCCTTCAGTTTGACATCATGTCTGGATCCAGAGTGAGGGAGATGGACATCATCTTACACTTGAGTTTGGACACATACTATAGCATCAGGGGCCCACATGCTCATGATCTGGAGGCTGACAGAGAAGGGGCAAGATGTCAATTCTAGGGACGCCTTAAATTCTTAGTTTAGTGACTGGTCTTCACAGATGGGACCTCTGAAGCGCA